GCTCCAGAAAGTAACCCACATCATCCTCTAATAACCACACCAGGGACTCTACCTGGTCTGCACTAAATGGTGGCAAAAATTCATCCCTGCATTCGGGGGAACCAGATGAAACCAACTCTGCACAAACCTCAATCAATGGCTGCACCTCAGAGAACACTGTGCCCTGATCTACTAGAACATGAGCGAGCCGTATACATTCTAGCAATTCATCCCGGGTATACTCCTTCAGAGTTTGATAGGCATACTCCCTGTCATCAAACACTAGCAGATATAAATACTCAACCTCCTCAAGATCCATCCTTCCCATCAACAAGCCAAGATGGCTTCCCTGTGCAGCCCACTTCTGGTCAGGATTGGCCTTGGTGTAATGTCAGGGCTCCCAGGTATGACCAGAGGTGTGTGACTGAAGCAGGGAAACGCAGACCTCAGATATGTTATAAACAATATAATTTATTAACACTAACAGTACAAACATAAACGCAGTGCAATACTAAACATAATACGGTGCAAACAAACCAAACCACCCACAGATAACAGTATATACAAGCAAGCGTCGTCAGGCAGGCCGGGTCAATATCAATTGGGCAGGTAGGTACAGGGGGGAGCAAGCGGAGAATGGTCGGGGTCACAGGCCAGGTTCAGCAGGTAGCAAGCAGCATAGTACAGAGGGTCAGGCAGAGGGATGGTCCGGGTCACAAGCCAGGGATCAGAACAGGTAGCAAGCAGCGTAGTACAGAGGGTCAGACAGAGGGATGGTCAGGGTCACAAGCCAGGATCAGAGCAGGAGAAGTCAGCAAAGGAACAGAAACAGGATGCAGGACAGATACAGGGCCCAGGACAAACACAACACCAAGGTAGAGTCTGCAAGTCTGGCCATCCCTTAAATACACCAGTATCATCAGTTCCAGGTGTTAGCTGGCTGAAAAGGTTGAGTCTCTGATTGCTGGGAGCACCCGCTGGCCAGCCCTGGTACTGCAGATCATAAGGCAGGTGAGTCCCACCATTGCTGGCCAGTCCATTCCTAACATAGAGGTTCAGCCATATGATTCCGAATGATGAAAACGTATTGTAAACATGAGAGAGGGCACCTTTAGTGGAAGCCGACGCCTTACAAAGCAATTCAAAACCAGAGAAGGTGCAGAGAAGGTGCTCTCGAAGCTGCGCGCGAACGTACGCATACCCCAACCCACAGTTAATGAATGAACAGTCATAAAACCATGGGTTATTCATCAACAAACAGCAATCTTATCAGAGTCCCATGGCGAAAAAAGCAAACAGTTGAATAATTGTAAAAGAGGCAAATGCAGGGAGAGTAGGCTCGCTGAATACTTACAAGAGTCCCAAATTTTCAAAGAATGAGCCAGGACAGGATTCAACAGTTTTAGACCGCAAGGACGGAGGAAGCCAGGGCAAGGCAGAAGGCAAAAGGGGATGTGTGTCCAAAGTGTCTATCAAAGCCCACAAGGGCAAGTCTCTGACAGAGAAATAACAGGAATAACTTGGGCCACAATATAGTAGTGATGAACATTCGGGAGACCAAGACCATCCTGAATACGTGGGCGGTAAAGCAACTGTTTAGACAAACATGGACGTCACGAAGCCCATACAAACTGCAAAACTTACCGTTGTAAAATGCGCAGTATATGATGTGGAATCCGAACAGGGAGCACTCTAAAGGGATAAAGTAATTTGGGAAGGTAGGTCATTTTAATCGCCTGAGCCTTACCAAACCAGGATAAGTTCATAGATTGCCAAGAAGAGATCCACTAGGTTAGCTGAGATAGCAGAGAAGGAATATTTGCCTGATACAACAAATCATAAAATGTTTAACTACCAAATAAGGAAGAAAGGAGGTCCACTGAAATGGAAACTGGATCAAAGATGTGCCACAAGCGATTGGGGATGGATGATATTCATAGCCACTGACTTAGCAGGATTCACATGTAAACCCTTAGAGATGAGCAAAATCAGTCAGAAGCGACAGGAGATTAGGGAGAGAAACAAGTGGAGATGAGAGATACATCAGGAGATCTTCTGCAAAAAGGGCAATCTTGTGATGCAATCCGCCAACTCGAGACCCAAAATATCCGGATGAAGGCAAATGCGAACAGTGAGGGGTTTTAGGGCCATGATGAAGAGAAGAGGATGCATACCACCCTTATGCTTACCACCCCTAATTGGAAACCAAGAGGATTCAACCCCATGATAGCGGACATTAGCGGACAGAATACTATAAAGTCTATAAATCCACTGAAGAAAATCATCTCCTACACCCCATCTCTGAAAGGCCCTCTGAAAATAAGTCCAGGAAAGAGTATCAAAGGCTTTAGTCATATCCAAAGACAAAAAAACATAAGTTCACGAGACCGCACATGGGTGCCATCTTAATCAATGCTACTCAAGTCGCAGCAAGGAAAAAAAGGTGTGCCATAGACTGCAATGATAAATCACAAAAGTCGCAAGGAAGTTGCAAGCAAGTCTCATGACTTTGGGGTCACAATAGTGTGAAATGAGCCTTAGCAAATCAAATTATTATTATTATACAGGATTTATATAGTGCCAACAGTTTGCTCAGCACTTTACAATATAACAGGAGACAATAACAGCAACTGTACAGTTCAATACAAGCGGGTAAAGAGGGCCCTGCTCCTTGGAGCTTACAATCTAAGAGGGAGGAACTAGTAGTACAAAAGGTAATAACGGTGGGGGATGGACAGGTACAAGAAATAGAAGATTCCATTCTTTGCTGAAGGCAGGATAGGCTTCCCTGAAGAGATAGGTTTTCAGAGATCGACTAAAAGTGAGCAGAGTAGGCGATAGTCTGGTAAATTGGGGTAGAGAGTTCCAGAGGATGGGGAGGCTCTGGAGAAGTCTTGGAGATGAGCATGGGAGGAGGAGACAAGGGTGCTAGAGAGTAGTAGGACGTTGTGCGAGGAGCGGAGAGTACAGTTTATGTGATAGTTGGAGACAAGATTGGTAATGTAATTTGGGGCAGAGTTATAAATGTACCAATAAATAAATAATTTGCGCTAGTAAATGTGTATAAAAAGAAATCATCAAATCATAAGTCCAGAAAAAAAAATATATATATATGCCAATACCACAAAAAAATAAAAAAAACTTTTAAGTGCAAAAAACTTTTGTGCAAAAAAAGTGTCTAAATATAAAAAAATTTTCACCAAAAAAAACCTTGATAATATAATGGCAGATCATCCATAAATATATCTTCAGAAACGGAAACTCTGCAACACACCGATCCTCATCGATCGAAATAACAGGATGAAAAACTTTGTAGTTAATCGAAAATCCACTTCTCCAATAGATAAAGGACCACCTTCAAACGTATCCATGGGGGGAAATGCCAAGCACTCGAGAGAGAAACAGAAAGACTTCATGGTGCAATATTATAAAAACCAATTCCTTTATTAGGTACTAATTGCACTTACTCAAGAGGTGTCCCAGCCGACACCAGCATCAACAGCATAACAGCAATCACATAAACGAGCCTGGCTACTCAGCACATGCGCAGTAGCTGGCAGCCAAAAACGTAATGACGTCACATCAGTCAAGCTCCGCCCTACGCGTTTCGTCATCGACGTCCTCACGGAGCGGATAGATGTGAGACGTCTCAACCTCCTTAAATATTCACTCACAGGAAACGAACAGCTGACATCAATGGGGAATCAAGCAAAGCAAGCCGCCCCACAGATGACAGGAGTCCACAAAGGATATACAACAATGTATCCAATATATTTGCCATCACAAGCAAAAAAACTTTAAAACAAGAGAACCAAAATAGAATAAAAAGAAATTTGAATAAAACACTAATGATAAATAAATTAAATAAGTAAATACATTAACGGGCCAGCACCCTCTAAGACTGTGTTTCAAAAAGGGAACTTAAAGGGCCAGTAACACTTTCAACACAAATAAAGGGGAACTCTAGTAATAATACAAAAATAATGCAAAAATTTGACAAAAAACATACAATCTCCCATATATCATCTTTAAACAGTTGCCTATATAAAAATATACTTAAAATAAACATAAAAATTAAAAATTAAAAATTTGTGAGAAAACAATTCAAATCTATATCGACATTTAACCCAAATGGTTGCAAGGAATTTAGTTCATAAATCCAAAACGTCTCTTTTTTGGAAATCTCATTAACCAAATCCGAGCCCCTCCAATGGGGTTTTACCATCTCGATCCCATAAAAGGTAAGTAAGCTCGGATCACAATTATGTACCAATTTGAAATGTTTGGATACACTATGTTTATCAAATCCTTTTACTATGTTTCTTATATGTTCGCCTATTCTTGTTTTTAAACATCTCCCAGTTCTCCCAATATATCTCAAATGACATGGACATTCTAAAACATAAATCACATGTGTAGAATTTACATGTAATCAGGGATTTAATATCATATTCTTTTTTGGAAAATGAAGAGCAGAATGACTTTCTTTTTTTATTATTACCAACTTTTACAGTCCTACAAACTTTTACACTTCCTACAAGGAAAAAAAAACCATTTAAATTTAGAAACAGATCGAACTTTTTTGGGGGTTCGATGACATTGCGAGCCAGTTTCATCCTAAGAGACTTATTTTTCTTATAAATGAATTTAGGAGTTTTAGATAAGAATTTATTTAGTATATCATCTTTTAACAAAATGGGCCAATATTTTTTAAAAATTCGTTCAATATTTTTGTATTGCATATTATAGTTTAGTAATAAAGGGTACATTATTTTCAAATCCCAAATGAGCCTTTCTATTTCCAAGAAACGTCTCCCTATCTTTAATACCAATCGAATTTCTCTCTTTAATCAAAAAGGTCTTATCATACCCTTTCTCTATAAATCTTTCAATTTAACACCTCAGATTGGTCGAAAAAAATCTTTGTTAGCGCTACAATTTCTTTTTAATCTGGTAAACTGACTTTTTGGAGTGCTATATAACCAATTTGGATGATGTCCACTAGAAATAGGTATATAGCTGTTTTTGTCCACTTCCTTGAAGTAAGTTTTGGTACAAATTTGGCCATTATCTTTGTATAGGACCAGATCCAAAAAATTAATTTGCTCAAAATCACTCATAACAGTGAATCTCAATCCATAGCGGTTCATATTAATATATTCCATAAAAGGAATCGAGCTTTTCTCTGGATCCATCCCATACCATTATAATGTCGTCAATATACCTCTTGTATAGCGCCATCTCTGGCCATTTATTGAAAATACTTTCTTCCTCCCATTTATCCATTACCAGATTTGCCACACTGGGAGCATACTTAGCTCCCATGGCAACACCCTTTACATTGCTGAAAAAAAGTGTTGTTGTACCAAAAGAAATTGTTATTCATCGCAAATTCAAGTAATTCAACAACAAATTTCCTCTGCGATCTTTTCAGGAGTGATTTATGTTTAAGGGCCCATTTTACTGCATTAATTCCATCATTTTGATCGATGTTAGTATATAAAGATTCTACATCTATAGTAACCAACATACAATTATCAACATTATGTAATTCTTTAAGGATGTTAATAAGATGTCCACCATCTCTCAGAAAAGCCCTATTTGTCATAACAATGTTTTTCAGAAAAGTATCAACATATTCACCAACTCTTGCAAATAAAGAATTTATCCCACTCACAATGGGTCTCCCCGGTGGTTTCTCCTTATTTTTGTGTATTTTTGGTAAATAGTATATAGTAGGTATTTTCGGATAGTTTAAATTTTTCGGATGTTTAATCAATAAATATTTTGCTTCTTTTTCAGTTAATACCCCCAAACTCTTTTCCTTTGTTAATAATACACTTAAGTAGTAATTTAAGTTTCTTAGTGGGATTTTTTTGCAAAATTTTATATGTATCTTCAGATTGTAATAATCTCTTCATTTCTTTTTCATAGTCACTCTTATTTAAAACAACAATACTTCCCCCTTTATCAGCACTTCTAATTACTATATTCTTTCTCTTTTCAAGATCCTCAATACCCAATTTTATATCTGGTGGAATACAGTACGAATTTTTAACATTAATACTCTTAATCTCATTTTCTACTCCATATTTTTAAATACCTCCAGAAAAGCATTACCAGAAATCTTAGGGTTAAATGTAGAAGCATTTTTTAAAACCACTATTTTGAAAACCATGAGAAGATGAAGTAGGATTGTTTCCTTGAGATTTATTCAATTCAAAAAATTTTTTTAATATTAAGTTTTCTCACAAATTTTTGCAAATCAATAAAAACACATCGAATTTATTTAAATTCGTCCTAGGTATATATTTCAAACCAAGGTCCAAAACTTTAATTTCTCTTTCAGAAAAAGTAACATCACTCAAGTTATAGATTCCTGCCCCTATTATTCTCTTTTTCTCTTTTTGTCTCCTTCCTCCTCTTTTGCCTCTGTATTTCTTATTCCCTCTTCTCTGCCATAATTCCCTTGTTCTCTCCAATCTTTCTCCTGTGGTCTGTAACCCCTTGGTGCCATATTCCACCCCCGGTGATGGTATGAAAAACCCCCCCTCGATGGAAAAAAATTTTGGTTTTGATAACCTCCTCTCCTATATCCATTACCCCTATATCCACCTTGACCTCTATAGTTGGAAAAAACCTCTCTGAAGGTCTACCACTATATTCATAATTGATGAGGTGATTTATCATGAACATTTTCAGGTGTGTTCTATTGCCAGAATTCTGAAATGTCACTTTTTGTTTAGGGGATTTTAAATTAGGTATAATAATTTTTTCAGGTGTAGAAAGTTGGGAGTCACACCCATCTGTAGTGATCTTATCTTGCCATTTATACACTCTATTATTCCTATAATCTTCAGTGTCTCTTTTATATTTTTTAACCTTTTTGTTTTTAGTATCCTTATCGACTTTAACAATATGATCCTGTAAATTCTTTGATCGATCTTTATAATCATTGGTATCTGCAAAAGGTAACATCACATCCTTCAACTCTTTAATTTTAAAGTCTACTTTCCTCAATTTAACCTGTCGCCTTTTTATAATTAATTCCAATAAACTGCTTTCACAAATGGTTAAAAAACTGAAACCACTCATCTACTAATTCTCTATCATCCATCCCATCATTGGCAGGTATATCCCATCTCAACCTCCTGGGAGTAATTTTCTCTTTAGATAGAGTTCCAAAGTATTCACATCCCACCATATTTTAATTTGCTTCTCCAAAAAGATATTTTAAACTTTTGAAATTTTCTTCTAAATTCATACTATTTGAAATTGTTGTTATTGTTGTTTTAAATAAGAGTGACTATGAAAAAAGAAATGAAGAGATTTATTACAATCTGAAGATACATATAAAATTTTGCAAAAAAATCCCACTAAGAAACTTAAATTTACTACTTAAGTGTATTATTAACAAAGGAAAAGAGTTGGGGGTATTAACTGAAAAAGAAGCAAAATATTTATTGATTAAACATCCGAAAATACCTACTATATACTATTTACCAAAAATACACAAAAATAAGGAGAACCCACCGGGGAGACCCATTGTGAGTGGGATAAATTCTTTATTTGCAAGAGTTGGTGAATATGTTGATACTTTGTCTGAAAAAACATTGTTATGACAAATAGGGCTTTTCTGAGAGATGGTGGACATCTTATTAACATCCTTAAAGAATTACATAATGTTGATAATTGTATGTTGGTTACTATAGATGTAGAATCTTTATATACTAACATCGATCAAAATGATGGAATTAATGCAGTAAAAATGGGCCCTTAAACATAAATCACTCCTGAAAAGATCGCAGAGGAAATTTGTTGTTGAATTACTTGAATTTGCGATGAATAACAATTTTCTTTTGGTACAACAACACTTTTTTTCAGCAATGTAAGGGTGTTGCCATGGGAGCTAAGTATGCTCCCAGTGTGGCAAATCTGGTAATGGATAAATGGGAGGAAGAAAGTATTTTCAATAAATGGCCAGAGATGGCGCTATACAAGAGGTATATTGACGACATTATAATGGTATGGGATGGATCCAGAGAAAAGCTCGATTCCTTTATGGAATATATTAATATGAACCGCTATGGATTGAGATTCACTGTTATGAGTGATTTTGAGCAAATTAATTTTTTTTTTGGATCTGGTCCTATACAAAGATAATGGCCAAATTTGTACCAAAACTTTCTTCAAGGAAGTGGACAAAAACAGCTATATACCTATTTCTAGTGGACATCATCCAAATTGGTTATATAGCACTCCAAAAAGTCAGTTTACCAGATTAAAAAGAAATTGTAGCGCTAACAAAGATTTTTTCGACCAATCTGAGGTGTTAATTGAAAGATTTATAGAGAAAGGGTATGATAAGACCTTTTTGATTAAAGAGAGAAATTCGATTGGTATTAAAGATAGGGAGACGTTTCTTGGAAATAGAAAGGCTCATTTGGGATTTGAAAATAATGTACCCTTTATACTAACTATAATATGCAATACAAAAATATTGAACGAATTTTTAAAAAATATTGGCCCATTTTGTTTAAAAGATGATATACTAAATAAATTCTTATCTAAAACTCCTAAATTCATTTATAAGAAAAATAAGTCTCTTAGGATGAAACTGGCTCGCAATGTCATCGAACCCCCAAAAAAGTTCGATCTGTTTCCAAATTTAAATGGTTTTTTTCCTTGTAGGAAGTGAAAAGTTTGTAGGACTGTAAAAGTTGGTAATAATAATAAAAAAAGAAAGTCATTCTGCTCTTCATTTTCCAAAAAAGAATATGATATTAAATCCCTGATTACATGTAATTCTACACATGTGATTTATGTTTTAGAATGTCCATGTCATTTGAGATATATTGGGAGAACTGGGAGATGTTTAAAAACAAGAATAGGCGAACATATAAGAAACATAGTAAAAGGATTTGATAAACATAGTGTATCCAAACATTTCAAATTGGTACATAATTGTGATCCGAGCTTACTTACCTTTTATGGGATCGAGATGGTAAAACCCCATTGGAGGGGCTCGGATTTGGTTAATGAGATTTCCAAAAAAGAGACGTTTTGGATTTATGAACTAAATTCCTTGCAACCATTTGGGTTAAATGTCGATATAGATTTGAATTGTTTTCTCACAAATTTTTAATTTTTTAATTTTTATGTTATTTTAAGTATATTTTTATATAGGCAACTGTTTAAAGATGATATATGGGAGATTGTATGTTTTTTGTCAAATTTTTGCATTATTTTTGTATTATTACTAGAGTTCCCCTTTATTTGTGTGTTGAAAGTGTTACTGGCCCTTTAAGTTCCCTTTTGAAACACAGTCTTATTTACTTATTTAATTTATTTATCATTAGTGTTTTATTCAAATTTCTTTTTATTCTATTTTGGTTCTCTTGTTTTAAAGTTTTTTTGCTTGTGATGGCAAATATATTGGATACATTGTATATCCTTTTTGGACTCCTGTCATCTGTGGGGCGGCTTGCTTTGCTTGATTCCCCATTGATGTCAGCTGTTCGTTTCCTGTGAGTTAATATTTAAGAAGGTTGAGACGTCTCACATCTATCCGCTCCGTGAGGACGTCGATGACGAAACGCGCAGGGCGGAGCTTGACTGATGTGACGTCATTACGTTTTTGGCTGCCAGCTACAGCGCATGTGCTGAGTAGCCAGGCTCGTTTATGTGATTGCTGTTATGCTGTTGATGCTGGTGTCGGCTGGGACACCTCTTGAGTAAGTGCAATTAGTACCTAATAAAGGAATTGGTTTTTTATAATATTGCACCATGAAGTCTTTCTGTTTCTCTCGAGTGCTTGGCATTTCCCCCCATGGATACGTTTGAAGGTGGTCCTTTATCTATTGGAGAAGTGGATTTTCGATTACCAAAATTGTTTTTCATCCTGTTATTTCGATCGATGAGGATCGGTGTGTTGCAGAGTTTCCGTTTCTGAAGATATATTTATGGATGATCTGCCATTATATTATCAAGGTTTTTTTGGTGAAAATTTTTTTTATATTTAGACACTTTTTTTGCACAAAAGTTTTTTGCACTTAAAAGTTTTTTTATTTTTTTGTGGTATTGGCATATATATATTTTTTTTCTGGACTTATGATTTGATGATTTCTTTTTATACACATTTACTAGCGCAAATTATTTATTTATTGGTACACTTTATATATGGTGATTTTTTGCAGCTGGTACACTATTAGTAAGTTATATAATTTTGACCATAGGCGCTATTATTAATTTTTCTTATTCAGAGTTATAAATGGCTTTAAATGTTATTGTTAATGTTTTGAATTTTATTCGTTGGGCAATGGGAAGCCAGTGGAGGGCTTGGCAGAGAGGCATGGCAGATACGGAATGGTTAGTAAGGTGGATGAGTCTGGCAGCAGCATTCATGATAGACTGAAGAGGGGTTAGCCTGCGATGAGGTAGGCCAATGAGAAGGGAGTTACAATAGTCAAGACGAGAGATAACCAGGGAGCGAATACGTTTCTTAGTAGTTTCAGAGGTTAAGAACGGGCATATCTTGGAGATGTTGTCTACATGATTTGGACAGCGATTGGATTTGGGGCTGAAAGAACAGATGGGAGTCTAGGATTACACCTAGTACCCTGGCATGAGGGGAGGGATTGATGGTTGTATTGATGATCTTGATGGAGACGTCAGGGGAGGGGGCACGAGCTGGAGGGAACAGTATGAGCTTAGTTTTGGAAAATGCAGCATTTTCTTTTGGAAAAGTGCCATGAGTATTTATTCCTGTTGTATTGTTGTGGACACTGCTTTTCAAGCACCTGGCATGTTAACCACACCAAAGTGTGGACATGTCTTACAACCATTTAAGCTGCAATTAGACTTTAGACAGCAATCAGATAGACAAATTGTGCAAAAAAAATCTTATTTATATGC